ACTAGCCCCCCCCACCTATCAATTTTAATGACCAAATTAGTACTTATTTGGCAATATTTAGGGTTAGGTTAGGACACTATCTTAGCCTAGAACTGCGGCCTGGACAGGCTGGGGGGCTGAGCGCTGCGGCCACGGGTTCACTTTAAGCAAGATCCATGTACAAAATTGATAGGGGGGGGGAGCGGGGGTCCACAAATCGTTCTCTAGGAATAAACCTTCAGAGAAACGTTCTATATAAATCTTCAAATAATTTATGTTTGTTAAACGAGTTAACATTTTTGATTTAACCACGTGGAAATGGCAGACATATTAGATACGATTGATTTAAAATAAACTCAACAATAAATTAAACCCATTCCTTAGCAAGCATAGCGTAGTATTCAATCTCGGATTTACGTAGGGGTGGAGTATTGCTGGCAATAATTACCAACTTACTCTTCCCGTTACGTAAAGTTTTCAAGGTTTGTTTGTAACCAAGAACGTACTTTCCGGATTTCATAACCAACGCTAGACGCGCATTGATAGATTCATTAGACTTCTTGGATTTCTTAGGAGCCATGTTGTGACCAATACCTTCTCTTTCCAAATCAAAATCAGGAATCCAGCTAGTCACAACTTCTGAAAACATTCAAATTTACACCAAACTGACGGCAAAAAATTTAATAAGATTGAATAAAGTATTAAAATCTGAGCTTTAAAGAGTTAAAAAATGGTAAATTGGAAAGAACTAGGCAAACTCTGATAAATGAGTAAGCATACTGTTTCACTGTAAAGAGATGATACTGTAATGATATAGGAAAAGCTGGAATAAGGTGTCGGGGCCGGGACCGGAAAAGGAACCCTAAATCTCGAGCCAACTTGCCTTGCGCATCTAGAAAATACTGCCGCGTTCTATTATCAACATTTCCTCTCGAGTTTCTCTATCTATCTATCTATGCACTTGACTATCTATCTATCAACAAATCTTCGGAAAACAAAACTGGCTCGAGCTATGCTTCCAAACTATTGAACGTGTCAAACACGTGTTTATTAAATGTAGTTTTTTTATTTGAAATCACGGCAGCCTTGTAATGAAATCACCAATTATCAGAACGTTATACAAAATAATTTTCATTTAAGATTTATTAAGGCGATAGTGTCGATATTACGCCCCCCCCCC